CCGTGTGTAGCCAGCAGCCAGCGTGAGCGGCCAGCAGCCACCGTGAGCGGCCGACCAGAAGCCGGCGACTGATGTGCCTCGCCCAGGAAGAGCGCAATGATGGTGCCAACTTGGGCCAGTGAAGCAACGTCCTCCACAACTAGGCTGAAGAACAAAACGACAGCAACTTGTCTGTTCCCATTCCCCAATTCCCCAGGGCTGTTCCCATACCTCCAATTCCCCAATAAAAAATCTTTAAAAAAAAAAAAAGTTAAAAGAAACTAACATGTATCAATGAGCATCAGACACATTTTATGTAGTGATAAGCTTGTTTAGTCTATGAAACAAGGAACACCCATAACTGTTGTCTAGTCTACTAATGGAGTAGAAAGGCAAAATCGCTTTACTCTGTAGATGGGATTGGGGAAGGGGGAAAGGGGAACACAACACATAAATTATATGCCTTTTGCTGTGCAAAGAACCAACAGCAAGTATCATGAGGTAACATGTTCTTGACTCTAGACAAAAGAATGTCGGTTTATTTCCATAGAAAACTATCCTCAATTTCAAGCCCAACTTGAAAACTACATGAGACTATTTCTGTGATCAAGAGAGAGCTAAAACCAAAGGCATAAAAGCGGGGAAATGGGCCCCTACCCTCACCTGTATCTCTGCCACTCAACTTCAAACATTTTTCCAGGTCCCTGTCCTTTGCTTGCAAGCTCAGTCTTGGTATAAAAATATCACCTTCAACATAAATGATAAACATTTAAACTCCTATTCACACTAATAGATGTAAAATGTAAGCTCTACACACACAAAATAAAGAGTGTTGCCATGGATAAAGTATTAATTCGATTGTCAGATAATAAATGCTTGGCATAGTACTATTCTGTATGAGGTTATTATTCTTCAAGGTTTGGTTTTCTCATCTCTTGAGCAACAAAAATTAAAAAACAACTAACTTCTCCTACTTTAAAAACAATAACATAATAATTCATATTAAGGAGAAAAGACACATATTAATCAAAGGTATTAGTGGCAGAATTAATTAATTACCACAAAAGCAACAACAGTTGATAACAAACAAAAAAGTATTAAGACTTGTAACCGGGCCGGCTGAGTGGCTCAGTTGGTTAAGAGCTCGCTCAAGAGTTTGAGCTCTGAGCAACAGCGGTTCGAGTCAGCCCGAGCTGAGCAGCTGTGAGNAAGGAAGTTACAGAGCAAGAAGAGATAACTGATGCTGTAAGAGGTCCTGAAGTAAGGAAAAAAAGAGAACTGAAAGTACAGTTGGGTGGCTATTAATGACAATACGGCTTTCACTAATAAATAAAATCAAAGAAAATAAGATATTGACTCTTGAAATGTGAACCTGCAGCTCCTCAGACCTTCCTTTATAAAATCAATCTGCCAATAAGTTCAAAATGTAAACTTTTAAAGTATTACCAAAAAAAATTCTACATAATATGGTTATACAGGTAATATTTGGTTAATAAAAGTTATTTTGTTTACTCACGGGGCTTGAGTACGGGTAGTATATTCTTTGAATTCACTATCATGAATAGTGAAATAAGGTCGGAAATCACTGAAATACTTCAGTGGAGAAATACAGCTGTGGAGCAAGAAGAATATGTAAAACAAAGGACACAGGAATTAAAGGCCCTCAATAACATCTATACACACAGCATACCCCCAATTTGATAATTTATCTATTTCAATAAATGATTAACTAATTTCAGGAAACTAGAAGGCAAGTGGAAATGCGTAATATGGAATAGGACATTGAAAGAACACTGGATTTGGGGCAAAAGATGAAATTCACTTGTTATATGCCTTTTACTAGACACTGACCATTCACGTAACTAACATTTGTCAGGGGACAACTTTGTATAAGTGAATAAATGTTCCTGTTGCTCAGAAAAATGAGAACGTGGTTTCAGCCCTAATGGAGCCTGAATTAATTTTCTCATCCATAAAATGGTGCTATAATGAGCACTTCTTCCAGGGTTGTTGTGTGGAGCAATGCAACGTGTACAAACATACCACAGATGGGAAAGTGCTGCAACTCTCACCATTAGGAACCAATTATACTCACTTAACAAGTGCCAATACAGTCTCTGAAGACTCCGATGGTGACGGTGCCATGACCACAAGGGGCTCCCCCAACAACACCAGCTCCCAAAGCATCTGACTGTGAAGGAAAACTGGGCAGAAACACCTGAAAGGTGTTTACACCGTAGAAATGTTGTTGTTTATCCAATCTCTTTCTTAAATTCCTATATAATCATTCTAAAAACTTCACATTGATTGATATAAATTCTTCCAGCCATTTGTACATACACGTAATCTGATATACAAATTCATTTATACTGTTCATATAAATAAAAGTTCCTTTTATCCACACTAAGATATATATCAATTTAACTCATTCCAATTTTTACAAAATTAAATGCAGTATATTGACACACAGAGTGGCTGACAAACAATAAATGCACATAAAATAATTATTAAATTGTTGCACTATATGGTAGATCTATTTTTATCAATATTGCTGTTACATTTGAATTTCTGTTCTAAATATTTTGAAGGAAACAAGAGAAATTAATTTTCCAAAGGATATTAATTGGATGTACTTAGCTTAAAAGCAAATGCCTTCCATATTAAAGAATGATGAAAACAAATCACATGGGGGAGTTCTAATGGCAAACAACAGAAAGATTTCCTGGGTAGATCCTCCCCCTACAAAAATGCTGCATATTTTTATAGCAGCCCTGGAAATGGGTGGAAGCCTGTCATGACACAACTCTGGTACATTACTTAGCCTCTGACATTTGGTAACTTATTTAATAATTCCTCCTGGTAGGGTAACAATTTTTGGTAGTATATTAGAGAAAAAAATACTTATGTAAAAATCATAACCAATCTATCTAGTTGAAAACACAAATACACACAAAACAGAAAAAGAAAAGGAAAAAACATAGCATTTAAGCGCAAAAATACACAACAAATTTGTGAGATGAAAATTAGGAAAAGTTAATTTTAACTATTCAAAGGCAAGAAGACAAATGTGAAAAAGAAACAACAATAAATAGTTCGAGGATAAGGCAAAGGCGAGCTTCTTCCTCAACAATTCAATCCTAAAGCAGAACACAATGCACAGGAGGCATCTCTGCAAGGAGGGAAAGACAGCCATGTTGGCCCAGGGAGGGGTGTCAGAGTTTGTGCGAGATAAGGTAGACACCCATGTGGAAGGGTGGCTTGCTATGGGGGCAGTTGGAATCCAAATGTGATAAGGAAGGTATATATACTCGTATGTGGAGGTGATCTGATTTGGGGTGACAGAGCCCAGGAAGTGTGATAGGCATAGAGGGGAGGTGTGGTGTGGTGTGGCACAGTCAGAGTAGGTTAAGGAGGTTGTCCATGGTGGGGTGTCAGAGCAGGGGAATGAGGGTATCCACATGGAGAAGTGGCCTGGAATGAGGTATAGGAGCACAAGCAGGGTAAGGAAGGCATCCATATGGGCGTTGGCCTGGCGTCAGGAGTCAGAACACAAGCAGGATGAAGATGGTATTCAAATGGAGAGGTGGCCTAGTGTGGGATATGGAACCTTGAATGGGGTAGTAAGGTAATCAAATGTGGGTCAATCTCGCATGGAGCAGAGTCTAGGCAGGGTAAGGAGGGTGTCCATGAAGAAGGGGAGCTGGGTCTGCAGCGTCACATAGAGTCCAAGAGAGGTAAGACAGGCATTTGCACAGACGTTGCAGCAGAGATAAGAGATTGGTTATTAACAACAGACTGATCAAATAATTAAATAATTTAAGAATAATAGGAGGTAGTTACTCAATCAGACAAAAATACAAATATGGAAAGGCAGAAAACTAGAATAAACCCTGTCATGTTGGATTGGAACTGAGGGTATTAGTGTGGTTTTATGTTTTTCAATATATATGGATATAGAAGTAAATATATATGTAAAAATGTATGTGCATTATATATAAGTATGTATATATACATGTATTTACAGATATATATGTGTGTGTGTGTGTGTGTGTGTNGATCTGCCTCACCAGGGAAGAGCGCAATGACGGTGCCAACTTGGGCCAGTGAAGCAACATCCTCCACAACTAGATTGAAGAACAAAAATGACAGCAACTTGTCTGTTTCCCTTCCCCCAGTTCCCCAGCACTGTTCCCATCCCCCCAATTCCCCAATAAAAAAATAAAAATAAAAAAAAGACAGACAATAGTAAATGTTGGCAGGGATGTGAAGAATTAGGAATCCTCATACAATGCTGGTAAGAATGTAAAACGGTGGGCTACTGTGAAAAATAGTGTGGCAAAAAACTTCTTAAAAAGTTAAACAGACTTATCAATACATGTTACTTTACAAATGATTTTATGCAAAAGTTCCTCTACTTACATCCCCAACATTGAGCCTTTTTTCATTGGAAAAAGACAATAAATAGTAGTTTACTATATTATGATTAATCAAATAGTCTATATTAATAGGATAAAACCATTAAAGTAAATATCAAGATTAATGAAGATTAAGAGAATAACTTTTCATGTCTTCTCTTACCTAAGACACTAGTAACTGCTGTGCTTTGAATTTTCTTTAATAATCAGACAGGACACTAATGAAATGGCAAGAAACCATGACATTTACAGAGTGCCATGAGTTAGGCAGTGTGTTTAATCCTCCAAATTTGAGGCTTAAGGAAGCTGTACTGCCTAAGATTACACAGATCTGACTGCCAGGGTGAAACCCTTTGCTCTTTCTTCTTTTTCATAAGACATCTAAAGATTTCAGTATAAGACTGAATCTAATATTTGTAAATAATATTATTTAAAATGTTATTCCCTGACTCTAATGTCTATGTAGATTTATCTATATACTAGAAGATATCTTATAAAATAAAATATTAAACAATATTAAATAATGTTTTCAATATACTTGTGTATACCAAAAGAAAAGTCTTTAAAAGTGTCACATCATAGGGCCGGACGAGTGGCTCACTTGGTTAAGAGTTTGCTCAAGAGTGCAAGCTCAGAGCAACAGCAGTTCGAGTCCTGGCCCAAGCTGAGCTGCTGCTCAGCTGCCAACAGGTGGCAGGATGGCTCAGCCAAAAAAAAATAATAAATGAATGAAAAATGAAAGTATCACATCATAAAGTTACTAAAAAATATTTTTGATATCTCCAGACTCAACTATTTCAATGGAAAATTAAGGAACATCCAGCAAAGAATGTCATAGGTACCATTAAATTGTCATCTAAGTTAACAAAACTTCCAACCTCAAAATTCACTTACTCATTTAAAAACACTTTTTAAACAGCTACCTTGAGCAAGGTATATGTATCTTATTTCCTCAAGGAAAGCACAACCTTTTGACCACTTCCTTAATCAATATCAGTACCACAGAAATGTAAATACTTGTTTTGAGACCTAGCTGAGAATTTTGTGCCAAGTTGAATTAACTCAAGCTTAATAAGGTTTTATTCAAGCAGTGTTGGAAGTCCCTATTTAATTGGACTATATATAAACAAAAAGTAGCTCAAATTTTTGAGGCTTCATTTTCTTATAATTCATTTCATGTTTATAACACTGAAAGTACATTTTTTGGTAGGAGGAATGGGTTACACGTATAAGAACTTTTATATTTTAGTGACAAGTTATGCTCTTCTCCAAAGGCCCTTATTCAGGTTGCCTCAAACAAGGTTGCCATCAACATAATTAAAAAGTAACCAAAAGATAAAAAGAAAGGGGAAGAAATAAACCCGCTCAGTCACATTAAATACTAAAAACAGTTTATACTTCACCTGCTGGTTTAAGGTCTCCTATTCGAATAATGTGTGGCCAGTGCTGAAGTGTTTTTGCAAAAAATGGGTTGGTTACTCCTAATATGACTGAGGGCCTACATAAAAACAAAACAAAACAAAAACAAAGTGAGAAAATATGAATGTTTCATCAGTGAAAAACATTTTATAATTTCTTTTGAGTGAACAATAAATAAATCATCTTTTCCTTTATTTAATGTATTACATAGAAACTACATGCCAGACACCGTGTTTAGCACTAAGCATATAAAGATGAAAAGACATGGTCTTTCTAAAAGCATAAAGGAAGAAGGGTATACATACCCAATTATGATGCCAGAAATTAGAAGACAGTAAAGGTGGTATAAAATGTACAATAATTACAAAGGAGACACTATGTCTACCAGGGATTAAAGGACAGCCTCACTAAAAAGATGACGTTTGCACGAAGATATGAAAAATGAGCAGGAGTTCTCTGTCAAGTGGATAGGGTGGTAAAGGTGATGCTGGAAAACAAATAGTATGTGCAAAACAATGAAGTGAGAGCATGGTCTGTTTGTAGAACTACAAATATTGAGCTGTCGGAAAAGTCATGACATATTTTTTCTATGTTTTTCGTTGCAAAAATGCGTCATGACTTTTCTGACAACCCAATAGCTCAGCATTCCTAGAGCACAAAGCAGACAGGATGAAATAGTCAGAAATGACAGCAGACGGGCAGATGCGGGGCAGATCATTAAGTACCAAGTTAATATGCTAAGAAGTTTACGTGTTATCTTGTAGGCAAATGAAAGCTACTAAAGAACTGAGCGAAGGAATGCCACATGAATGAAAATGTACTTATTAGAAAGGTCACTCCTGGAGAAATTTAGAAGATGCCCGACAAGGAGGGGAAGAAGTCTGAGAAAAAGCAACAGCAAATAAGAAAGACTAGAGAGAAGAAAGCTTTGGGAAAAAAATAACATGTTATGAGAGATATTTTAGGATGTTTAATTGACAGAATACGGTAAAACTTGATGTGCACCATATTAAGGAGAAATTTATGACAATTTAGGTTTTTTGATAACTTCGTGAAAAGTAGTACCATTATGAAAATACTAAGAGGCATAGGTTTAGGGAAGAAAAGTAGGAGATAAAAATAATTCAGTTTGAACACGTTTAGCTTCTGATGGCATTATGATGTCCAGGTAGCAATATGGTTCAAAAAAAATTTGGATATATAGGTCTGGACCTTGTAAAGATCTTGGTTAGGAAGATAAATTTCAGTCATCAGCATATAGTGTTAACAGAAGCTGTGGGTACAGATAAGATTATACAGAAAGGATTATCAGTCTGTAATCAGAATACAACACTGGAGAACACCAACATTTAAGGAATTGTTACAGAAAGAAGTCTGCACAGGA